CAAATATACATTTTTCACTTAAATTTACCTATTTGTTAAAAACAAGTTAAAACAAGAAAAAATGTCCACCGATCCTCATGTAGCTTCCATTATTATGATCACGGTATTCAGTTGTGTATTTGCCGGTCTTGTTTTATTCATTTTATATTGTAATTGTATTCGTCGGAAAGTCTATTATAAACAGTCGGAATTATTTCCAAAAAGTTAGTGAAACCTTTACATATTTAGTTAGTATATGTGAAAATATTAATAATTTTGAAAATAAATTGCAATTAATAAGTGTAACGTTCTAAAAATATGTTAAATCATAAAAACTTTTCAAAAAAAATTGCTCATATGGCAGTTTAATTATAATTTTCGCACAATTCTACTTATCTTTTAGCACACCTATAATTTTTGATTGATCTAAGAACCCAATATTATAGTGAGTCATGGCCTTACACGTTTTAAATTAAATGACTCATTTTACCCAGAAAATATCTGAAGTAAAAACTAATCTAAAGATATTTGGTTTGCGTTTTAATCTGATTTTTAATTGGAAATTAATATATGTATGTATGAAGGTATTATCGTCCGATGTACAATAACTCAGTTTCGTGGATGTAAATCCAATCAGTGTTCCGGAATAATATTACTCTCAAGATATTTTGATAGAATTTCGACGGAAACCTTACGAATGACAAAGAAAGTGCACTGTCCTCTCAACATGCTGTAGATTCGTTGTATAGTTGTGACCGTACTCCTGTATATCCACTCAAAATACTTACCATCATACTTGATCATTTTCGTGCTGCCTATAGGATTTTTCTGGTTCTACTCACCGTTTCATTGTTACAAGAGGCCTTTGGAATTTTCTCTCCCATATTTTCAATTCAGCCCACGTCGAGTGGTTTTGCGTTCGTTAACTACTACTAGCTCTCTTTCCTTTAAAGTGAGTAAATTCGCTCTCTTGTTGTCGACTACTTCCGAGAGGCCTGGTAACACGGTCTTAGCTTTAACCTTATCACCTGATATCGTCCTAAATGCCTTCTAATCCAATTTACGCATTCCGGTATTGTATGGACTTTTGCCTGGAAACTAGTGTTGTGATTACGTAGACAGTAGTATATTTCAGGATCATTAATATAGAACCCCAGACCCGTTTTGTTCCCCAGTTTAGAGACTTCCATGTAGCAACAGATTCCTATGGGTATTTGCTATAATGTTCCGCTTGACCATGACAATCTATATGGGATCAGTGTTTCAAAGTTTCCGACATATTATGCCTCTGGTATGAGATTGGCTAAATCCGATGTTTGTGTATAGACTTCTTATGTGTCCAGTATACTTTCATGACGTGTCCTATAACCATCTTTGGTCAGTTTGCCTAAAGTTAAGAGCCGATCGGATATAAGTTTCGCTTCATATCTTATATATACATATATTTCAATTGGTTTAATATCTAGCAAAATTTCAATATAGTTTAGTTTATAGACTAATCAATAGACTAGTCCATATAGTACAAAAAAGTCCATAGACTAGTTAAATTCGTCATAATAGTCAAAAGAGTAGTATATATACTGGTTCTTAGACTAATTCTAAGTCAATCTTCTTATACTTGTCAATAGAGTAGTTAATAGACTGGTCAAAGGCGCGAAAATACAAAAGTCAAGAAGAAGTCATTAGACTGATCCTTAGACCACTTTATAGTCTAATCCATAAAGTGTTGAATAGTCGCTAGACTAGTCTTTAGATTAGTTAATAGACAAATCATCAACGAAGTCCATAGATTAGTATATAGATTAGTACACAGACTGGTTCTTAGACTTGACCTAAGAATAGTCCTTTGACTAGTTCATAAATTAGCCAATATTATAGTTCATAGACTAGTCCAAAGACTAGTTCATAAACTAGTTAATATACTATCAAAAAGACTTGTCAAATGACAAATTCATTAACTAGTCAAACGATCAGTCAATATGGACATTAGGCCTGTCAATAGACCATTTAATAGATTAATTAATAGACTATTCCTTAGTGTAGTCAATAGACCAGTTTATAAACTAATCCATAGACTGATTTACTATTCTGACTGACTATTCGCTAGTCAATAGACCAATAATAAACAAATCCTTTTTCTAGTCAACAGACAAGTTAATAGATTAGTCCATAAAATAGGCTATATGCTAGTCAATAAACTAGTATCTAGTAACTTGTACCAGTCAAAAGACTAGTTAATAGACTAATCCATAGTATATAGAATAGTCCATAGTTAATTTAGCCTAATAGTCCTACTAATTGGCTCTTTTGAAAATGATCAATAATTTCACCTGGTCGCCTTAAAGCTTCCACATTAACAAAAACACTTGCATTTAAAATTTTAGTAGCCAACACTTAAAGATAGTTAAATTTCTATAGTTGGCAACACTAAACAAAAGAGACTCAAATCTTTCACGTCAAATAAACTCTCACAATATCATTGTTTTTTCCGTTATTTGCAAAAAAGCAAACGAAATTTCACGAAATGTTTTTTTTTTTTTTTCGTTTTTTATCGCTTTATAGGTATAACACATTACTATTTTCCCTTATCTAATAACACTTTCTGTGCATTTCCATATTGTTTTATTTGCCATGCCATTATCAAATTTGTGAAATCTCAAGCTGTTTATGATGGTTTCACCAAAACAACAATGAATTGTTTCGATTAACTTTTTTGTAAAATGCCTTAAATAGTACTTAAAATTAGTTACTCGTTTAAAACATTTAAATGTGCTATGAATTTGACATTAATAATTGCGGTCGTTTTAGTGTTTTAGTATTTTTCTAACATCAATAGCTGTATTCTTGACAAGAAGAAAAAATCATCGAAATGGTAAATTGTGTTAAAGAATGAAAAAGAATTTTAAAAGTGATATGTGATTTGTGGACCTACTGTATTCCAAAACTTACTTTTACTTAAAAAATTACTAAAATCAAACTATATATGTATGTATATACAATCTATTTATGTGACTTACCCCCAATTTCACCACCACCAGTTATCGTTTAACTGGTAGTTATTCTTCCAGTTAAGACAATTTTTGTATGAGAACTGTCAATATAACTTAAAGTTCAAAAATAACTATACATTGTGAAAATGGGGGTTAAAGTGTTTAGCGGAAGTGTATTTCGAAGAAATCGTTTTAAAAAATCGGAATTTTGAAAATTACGTTTAAAAAAAGTCGAAAATTTTCTTTAAGATTCAATTAAGTCGAATTTATTTCTATTACTAATATCACAATTATGGACCTTAAAGTATTTCTCAGATAAGAGTCCAAGGAAGGACTACGGCATTAATCCCAAGACTGCAAAATGGTTATTGGACATGGAAAAATTTGGAAAGATCCATCTACTGCAATTATATTGATTTGATCACTTGCACGCCATTACATGATCTCTTTATTCTCAGGCAGCCTGTCGATCTCATGGCCAAGTAATTACATCTTGACTGTTAGACACAACGCTGTTGAAGTCTGAAAGTTTAACTATATCGTTCATGCGTCCATTGTACTAATGGCTGCAAATCTTTAACAGCGGCTTCTACAAACCCCATTTATAACAACATGGTTTGTTTCAGGCTTAACGATTGCTGTAGCATCTATTAGGTCGAGCTTTTGGCCATGAAGTACTAAATGTTAAACAATAGAAATATCAGAATTTGTATCAAACATCCAAAGTGATTCCCGAACCTCTCCCTGTGAGATGGCGAACCACATAATTACTCTGAGTACCGGGAAATCGACATAATATTTGGTTTTGCACTCTCATGTTGTAAATCTTTCATACAGCAGAAACTTTTTAGGTCTGCTCAGAGCAGATGGTCATCTCTGACGACATCAATGTTGATCTGGCCTCAGTATGATGGTTAACGATATCTAAGTTTGTTGGGATTTTCGGTTGTAGCGGTCACTAAATCTTTCATTTACTAACTACGGAAGAAGTTGTCATAACGAGGAGTAAGAAGAAACTATGAGGAACTTCTGATCTGCCTCCGTCCTGAGAACTTGGGTAGTCCGACAATGCATGATATAGCGCTTCTTTCTAGTACATACATAAACAATATACAGTCGTTTATTCGTGCCTGTGGATGGTTCGATTTCATGTAATGTATGGGTGGGTGGGTAGTATTTTAGTCAGACATTACATCCGCAGTAGTAGAAACCACTTAAGATCTATTCGAAGGATCCGGTAGTACGGGGTTTATACGATATACAAAATTTTAACAAGTTTCAAAAGCATTTTATCTTGAACATATGGAGATCATTCTACAACTTTGAATCTGTACTTTTACATTTTACACAGATGTATATTGTTTAAACGAATAATGAATAGATTTTAAATAGAACGGTAAAAGATGATCCATTAGACTTCTTCTATTTCTAGAAGTCATAACTGTGCAGTAGGGTATAGCAAAATAAAAATAACAATTAACGAAACCTTCTTGTATGGGCAATGTTATTTTTCCACAATTGATAATATAAACAAAAATATAAAATCAGACAACTAACTAATGTATAGGTAACTAACTATATATATATAGTAGATGTTATTGGTATACATACCAACGTTCGTTTCTTATCAATTGCCAATGAAAATCCTAATCTTTAGCAAGTTTTATCGCTCCGATATTATTTGCTGCTTTTTTTACCCATACAAATAGTATAAAATTAATAACACTCGCAAAAAGTACATTTATATTAAAAATTTAAATCAAAATGGATGGATTTATTATTGGATTGAGCATTGGTTGCACTATATTTGTTATAACAAGTGCAGTGGTTTTAATACGTCGACGAAAGCGCAATAACCGTTATCCGGGTGAAGTTATAGCAGGTAAACGCGATGTTTAGGAAACACGCAATTTATGGGTATTAATGGATAATGACTCACTTCTTCTTTCAAACACAAAGCTACTAAGTTTAGCATTTATAAAAAAAAGAATAAAACATTTCATTAATTTTATATTCTTCTGTCAATTTCAGCACCTGTGGTTGTAACATCTGCTACTCATACAGCACCTGGTGGTTATCCCGTTACACAAATGCCAGTAGGGGCTACAACAACAGCGTATCCATCACAAGCCTATGCTGCGCCCTACCCTCCTCAGGGGTAAGTTTTATTATAGATATTTTAATATTTTATTTAAAATCATGAAAACACAATCTCAATTCGTCCCCCTCAATAGTCCTAGTACCGTTTATGTGGTAAAATCAAACTATAACCAAGAGATTCCAAGCAATCCTACCATTGTTATTACCCAAAACTGATGCAACATCAATGGCTGATTAATTTTTTTAAATAAAAAAAACTAATGCATGTTTTTAAATTCTTTAACAAGTTGTTTTTTCCTATTTTAATATACTATTTGCCCCCATTATCTCAATGGGTTTAACATATATACTGGAAATAGTTTTCATTATTAAGCTTTAAAATAGTTAGTAACTCTTATAGCTAAATAATACTCAGTTCTTGTTCAATTCTACTTCAGTTCTAGTTCAGTTCTTGTTCAATTTTTGTTCAATTTTTGTTCAGTTCTAGTTCAGTTCTAGTTCAATTCTAATTAGTTCAGTCGTTCTATTTCAGTTCTAGTTCAGTTTCTAGTTCAGTTTCTAGTTCATTTCTAGTTCCATTCTAGTTCAGTTCAGTTCAGTGTTCTAGTTCAGTTCAGTTCAGTTCTAGTTCAGTTCTAGTTTCTAGTTTCAGTTCAGAGTTCTAGTTCAGTTCTAGTTCAGTTCTAGTTCAGTTCTAGTTCAGTTCTAGTTCCAGTTCTAGTTCAGTTCTAGTTCAGTTCTAGTTCAGTTCTAGTTCAGTTCTAGTTCAGAGTTCTAGTTCAGTTCTAGTTCAGTTCTAGTTCAGTTCTAGTTCGTTCTAGTTGTGTTCTAGTTGAGTTTCTAGTTCAGTTCTAGTTCAGTATTCTAGTTCAGTTCTAGTTCAGTTCTAGTTCAGTTCTAGTTTCAGTTCTAGTTCTAGTTCAGTTCTAGTTCAGTTCTGTTCATTCTAGTTCAGTTCTAGTTCAGTTCTAGTTCAGTTCTAGTTCTAGTTCAGTTCTAGTTCAGTTCTAGTTCAGTTCTAGTTCAGTTCTAGTTCAGTTCAGTTCTAGTTCAGTTCTAGTTCAGTTCTAGTTCAGTTCTAGTTCAGTTCTAGTTCAGTTCTAGTTCAGTTCTAGTTCAGTTCTAGTTCAGTTCTAGTTCTAGTTCAGTTCTAGTTCAGTTCTAGTTCAGTTCTAGTTCAGTTCTAGTTCTAGTTTCAGTTCTAGTTCAGTTCTAGTTCAGTTCTAGTTCAGTTCTAGTTCAGTTCTAGTTCAGTTCTAGTTCAGTTCTAGTTCAGTTCTAGTTCAGTTCTAGTTCAGTTCTAGTTCAGTTCTAGTTCAGTTCTAGTTCAGTTCTAGTTCAGTTCTAGTTCAGTTCTAGTTCAGTTCTAGTTCAGTTCTAGTTCAGTTCTAGTTCAGTTCTAGTTCAGTTCTAGTTCAGTTCTAGTTCAGTTCTAGTTCAGTTCTAGTTCAGTTCTAGTTCAGTTCTAGTTCAGTTCTAGTTCAGTTCTAGTTCAGTTCTAGTTCAGTTCTAGTTCAGTTCTAGTTCAGTTCTAGTTCAGTTCTAGTTCAGTTCTAGTTCAGTTCTAGTTCAGTTCTAGTTCAGTTCTAGTTCAGTTCTAGTTCAGTTCTAGTTCAGTTCTAGTTCAGTTCTAGTTCAGTTCTAGTTCAGTTATAGTTCAGTTCTAGTTCAGTTCTAGTTCAGTTCTAGTTCAGTTCTAGTTCAGTTCTAGTTCAGTTCTAGTTCAGTTCTAGTTCAGTTCTAGTTCAGTTATAGTTCAGTTGTATTTCAGTTCTAGTTCAGTTCTTGTTCAATTTTTGTTCAATTTTTGTTCAATTTTGTTCAGTTCTAGTTCAGTTCTAGTTCAATTCTAATTCAGTTCTAATTCAGTTCTAGTTCAGTTCTAGTTCAGTTCTAGTTCAGTTCTAGTTCAGTTCTAGTTCAGTTCTAGTTCAGTTTAGTTCTAGTTCAGTTCTAGTTCAGTTCAGTTCTAGTTCAGTTCTAGTTCAGTTCTAGTTCAGTTCTAGTTCAGTTCTAGTTCAGTTCTAGTTCAGTTCTAGTTCAGTTCTAGTTTCAGTTCTAGTTCAGTTCTAGTTCAGTTCTAGTTCAGTTCTAGTTCAGTTCTAGTCAGTTCTAGTTCAGTTCTAGTTCAGTTCTAGTTCAGTTCTAGTTCAGTTCTAGTTCAGTTCTAGTTCAGTTCTAGTTCAGTTCTAGTTCAGTTCTAGTTCAGTTCTAGTTCAGTTCTAGTTCAGTTCTAGTTCAGTTCTAGTTCAGTTCTAGTTCAGTTCTAGTTCAGTTCTAGTTCAGTTCTAGTTCAGTTCTAGTTCAGTTCTAGTTCAGTTCTAGTTCAGTTCTAGTTCAGTTAGTTCAGTTCTAGTTCAGTTCTAGTTCAGTTCTAGTTCAGTTCTAGTTCAGTTCTAGTTCAGTTCTAGTTCTAGTTTAGTTCTAGTTCAGTTCTAGTTCAGTTCTAGTTCAGTTCTAGTTCAGTTGTAGTTGAGTTCTAGTTCAGTTCTAGTTCAGTTCTAGTTGAGTTCTAGTTCAGTTCTAGTTCAGTTCTATTTCAGTTCTATTTCAGTTTTAGTTTAGTTCTTGTTCAGTTTAATCCCATGTACCTTATCAAAATTCGTACTTTCATGCCAAACTCTGTCTTATTCATTCACAAAAAAGGTTATGGTTTTTCTCTTGTTCGGGTCATCCATTGGATCTTTGTAGTCTTACCCACCGTTCCATTATTGAATATAGTTCAATATTCCAAATGGAACCCACCGTTCCATTTGGAATATAGTTTAGTAGAACTCTTGAAACAATTAAAAGAAAAACTATGTAGCAAACAAAAGAGGAACATTTTCTATATATTTCTAAATCAGGCGCGGATCCACGGGGGGGGAAAAAGGTAAATATCCAACCCAAAACCGAAAATTTTTCATACAAAATATACAAAATCAGGAAAAAGGAAAAAAATAATATAAGTAGAAAAACAAAACTTCCCCCCAAACGCTTCAACTGGATCCTTGCCTGTTCTAATTGTTTATCTCAGGAAAATCTTTTTGGTTAAATATGTATATTCCTTAAGTATGGCATATTATTTTCTAGAGGAAATGATTATTACCACAATTGTTTAACATAAACTTTTTTATTACTTTCTCTTTATAGAGCTCCTACACAAATGCCCATGCCAATGCCTATGCCTGCAGGTCAACCTCCAGTTGGGTAAGATTTAAATAAATTTACTTAAAATTGTTATTAAATTTAACTTAAAAACTGTATAAATCTTTTGCTCTTGCAGTATGCAACCTCATTTACCACCATATCCAGCGACTAATATGAATCCACCTCCCTATGATGTGGCTGTTAATTGTGCCGGTGCTGGGCAAGTTAACAATACTGGTTACCAAAAACAAGCACCCTACAATCCCAACTATCCAATGTAAACAAATGTTTTCCAACATTTCATTTTTCCATACAAACTAGAGATACAACCAACGACTTTCAAAAAACAGAATGAGGGAACTTTATTTAAAGACTTGTTAGAGAAATAGCAAAAATAGAAGTTGCCATAACAAGTAACAAATAAATAATTAAAAAATTAATTATCTTATATAGATATGTAAATTTATTGAAAATTTTATTAGACAATATGTAATTGCTTAAAAGCTATTGTTTAAATCTTTTTTATAAAATTTGTATTCACTAAAACACAAAACATTTTTACAAACAGTCAAACAAAGAATGTCGTCTATTCCATGTTACAAAAAAAAAAAAAGTTTTACCAAGTATTCCAAAAAATATTAAATTAAAATAGAACATAATTTATAATTTTATTATCCTAAATGTTTATGTAATTTTTAATAAAAGTTTATTAGCTTTCATTATTGTGATATCCTTTTTTTTCGTGAATTAATAAAAAAAGGAATTACTTATTTTTTATTTATTATTTTTTTAATTTTTTTTTATTAAAACATAAAACTTTTATACAAGTATGTACGAGTATTGTTATTATTATTTTTTTAATTTGCACAAAAACTATAAAAAAAATCGAATAAAATATGAAAAACAGAAGATGAAATTAATTGGAATTGGATTATGTAGCTTCGTTTTAAAATGGGAACTTATTAACAACTAACCGGTAGTACTTTGCTTACCCTATCGAAATTAAATAAAAACTAATAATTAAAATATATATTGGGTGTAAAACATAAAAATCACGATAGATCTTTTAAAAAATCTGCTCAGACATCACAGAGGACCTGTGCCAAATATAACTTATTCATTTGAAGCGAATATTGCCTGAAAACTCTTTGAATATACGGCAAGGCAAAGTGAAATATAAAAGTCCATTTTCTGGTTAAAATAGGGGAGCTAGGGCCAAAAGGATGAAAATCTCTGATCACTTGTATTTCCTACCAAAACTCGATTTTTGAGTGAAAACATAAAAGTCAATTTTCTGGCTAAACTAGAGGAGCTAGGGCCAAAGGGATGAAAATCTGTAATCACTTATATTTCCTACCAAAACTCGATTTTTGAGTGAAAACAGAAAAGTCAATTTTCTGGCTAAACTAGAGGAGCTAGGGCCAAAGGGATGAATATCTGTGATCACTTGTATTTCCTACCAAAACTCGATTTTTAAGTGAAAACATAAAAGTCCATTTTCTGGCTAAACTAGAGGAGCTAGGGCCAAAAGGATGAATATCTGTGATCACTTGTATTTTCCTAATAAAACTTGATTTTTGAGTGAAAACATATAAGTCCATTTTCTGGCTAAAATAGAGGAACTGGGGCCAAAAGGATGAATATCTGTGATCACTTGTATTTCCTGCCGAAACTCGATTTTTGAGTGAAAACATAAAAGTTCATTTTCTGGCTAAAAGGATGAATATCTGTCTTTTATCTTTATAACTTTTATGTCTTAATAATACTTGATATTTGAGTGAAAACATAAAAGTCCATTTTCTGGCTAAACTAGAGGAGCTAGGTCCAAGAGGATGAACATCTGTGATCACTTATATTTCCAGCCTAAACTCGATTTTTGAGTAAAAACATAAAAGTCCATTTTCTGGCTAAACTAGAGGAGATAGGGCCAAGAGGATGAATATCTGTGATCACTTGCATTTCCTACCGAAACTCGAACGAAATGTCCAAGTAAGGGAGCATGCAACAGGACCGATCTTTATAACTTTTATGTCTTAATAAAACTTGATATTTGAGTGAAAACAAAAAAGTCCATTTACTGGCTAAACTAGAGGAGCTAGGGCCAAAAGGATGAACATCTGTGATCACATATATTTCCTGCCGAAACTCGATTTTTGAGTAAAAACATAAAAGTCCATTTTCTGGCTAAACTAGCGGAGCTAGGTCCAAGAGGATGAATATCTGTGATCACTCGCATTTCCTACCGAAACTCGAACGAAATGTCCAAGTAAGGGAGCATGCAACAGGACCGATAGAGAACTGCGTACAAACATATCTTCATGATATGATGTTTATAGCATCGTTTTCTTCAACCGAATGCCTTCGTTTGCCTTTAAAAGTTAAGAAATCCAGCATAAAACAAAATATTCATTAATAGAGTTTTATAAACTTTCATTTATTTTGTCCATATAGTTAGTACATTGGGTTATATTCATTTTTTTTAATTATATATAAAATATTTATCAAAAAAGCATAAAATTTACAAAAAGTATTCGTTTTGTTTTCGTTCATAATTGATACAAAATATAAATTTATGTGTAAACATCTAAGTTTTCTTATACAAAATGTTCAATTATTTGAGTTTATAAAGAGAAAAGATACATTCGTTATATAAAAAATCAGTTAATTAATACATACAGTTTTGTTAAAAAACAAAGACAATAGAAACAATTGACTTGTGGGTATACAAAGTTTTTTTTTTAATTCTTCACATAATTCACTTTGTTGCCGCCATATTTGATTGTGCATCTACAATTCCAATGGAGGGATATAAGCTGAAAATTAAAAGGATTCAATTGCAAATTAATAATAATATGAAATTCTATGTTTCTATTTATAAGAAGAAGAGATAGAGCAAAAACAACGTTAATATGTGATCAGTTATATTTAGGTTAGAAAACTTGCCGAAAACATTCCCCTCAATTGATTAAAATTTTCTATCATTCTCGGAAATTTATTTAGGTTAGAAAACTTGCCGAAAACATTCCCCTCAATTGATTAAAATTTTCTATCATTCTCGGAAATTTATGAAATATTTCTCTGTACACTATGATGAATTGAATTCCAACGGATTTGTTGCACAAAAGTATAGCACAGACTGCAGCCTTAAGGCTAAGTACCTCAGGAACAGGGTCCTAAAGGGTATTTGATCATAGATTATTGCACTCAATAACTTTTTCACAGAAACTACGATTACGATCTATCGTATGACACTTGTTTGAAAGAAAGTCTCTCTCCTCTCAGCCTTTCTGTATATATAGGCGGCTCGAAAAGAGGCCAGCGTTCACGCTCCATAATGAATGTAATATACATCAGGCTGAAATTTCAGCCATAAAAAGAGCATCAATATTGGTTCAGAAATGCCGGGCATCCTTAAATAGAATGGCGATACATTCCAAAATTGTTCTAACGTGGGTTCGGGGACATGGGGATTGCGCTGTAAAGTTGTAAATTTGGCATACATGATTGACAACTTGGAATGCCTTATAATGATTTCTATAAGAGTTGTCATGATGAGGAAGAAGAAGAGTCAATACTGCTTTGCATTTGGAGACATACGATCTGAATATTTAAGGCAGAGATTCTTTGACGACTTGTCACAATTATCTAACATAATGACTTTATCAGACATTTCAACTGGTTTGGGGACAATCATCCATGATTGCACCAAAAATGGTGTTTGCTTGAAGTCTTGGGACTCCCTCAACAAGCTCTATTTTTCTATTCTCCTACTTATTATTCTTCTTATTTCAATGCAGTTTTCTTCTACTCGTAATTTTACTTTAAACTTTATTGACTCTCGCCATCTTCTATTTTTCTTTTTAATATCTTTCAGGTATCACAAAGGGATCACTAGGACCCAAGGGTGCGTTAAGCAATCTGTGTTATCTAAACTAAAATACAAATTAATCTAGGAACTAAGTTTATAATCCATAAAGTTTTACAACATTTTAGAATTCTTCACTAGAATTGGTCCATAATAGCCTTTTTCTCCATATAATCCCTATTGCAAGGATTGAAATTAGTCTTAATTCCTTAGTGTTAATCATCATTATTATCATAAAATTATAATAGTTTTGATAATAGGACAAGTAAATTTTTTATGTTTTAGTAAAATATAATAATATTAACCCATAAACTGTAAAGGTCCAAATAAAATTATAGAATATTAGTAAATTTTATGAAACCGTAGTGAAATATTATTTAACTTTCAACCGATTTAAATACATATGTATTATAAAGGTACATATTTAGAATGACATCAAAAAAATCAAAATTAACCCTTAAACGTATATATAAACATATATTTTTATAATTATATATAACTTCCGTTATATATAAACTAAATATTCAATGTCAATTTTGAATATTTTTGATCACAAATAGGAATAGATAAATCTTGAATTTTACACACAAAAACAAAAATAGGCATTAAAACAAGCAATTATTACTTTTAGTATGAAAATGTGGACGAACAATAATTAAAATTTTTATTATATTTCCTAAAAATTTTGTATGGTTTTATACTAAATTCGAGAAATTACAAAACAAACAAAAAAACTTTAACTTACTTTGGAATTGTAGTTGCCGATGCTGGCGGATATAACTGCTGTTGATTGTATGCATTATAATCTTTGGGAATTTGTGTTACAGGTGCCCCAGCATACGCCGTAACCGTGCCTAGTATAATAAACGATAGCAAACACAAATTTCATATTATTCTTTAAGAATCCAATTAATATCTAAAATTTCCTTAGTTCACCTTGTTCTGCTACAACCAGATTATCGACAGAAGCTTTTCTCTTACGTCTCTCGAAGATGTAATAAATTAGCCAAAAAATTACGAATATTTTTATGGCCACCAAAACCCATAGAGTAGGATTCATATCTTTACAGTTTTCAATAAAATAATACACAAATCACTTTGTATTCAGCGAGTTCTAAAGTATTTGTTGTTAAATATATTTTGTATATGAAAAATTATTGCAAAAAAATATAAATGATGCTCATCTGCTCTTGTTGCAGATTAAATTAAATGCGCACACAAATGTTAAATTAAGTTGCAGTGTTGTTTGTTGCTGTTTGTCTCTGGTATTATTTGTGGTGAAATTGTTCTTCATTTAAAAAAGCAGTTTCGTAGAATCACCAGTGTTGTCATGTTTTAAATAATAAAAATTATTTCAAAAATTTTTAAGTTCAATTTTCGGTTACATTCATTTTTTTGCAATAGTTAATAGTTGCTTAGTTATTAATATAAAATACTAATTTTTAAAATATTCTTAGTAATTATTATTAGTTTTA